CATCACTTTGTCAAGTGAGCGGAGACACCGGCGGCTCTGAGGAGCAAGCAGCTGCAGTTAAAGCTTAATCACTGTCCTGTAGCACGGTTGGGAGGGGGGACCTAGTAAAGAAATTGGTCATGGGGGCACACCCTGGAAGGGATCTGGGGATCTTGGCTTGCCTTCCTTTTCTCCCTTCCTTTCCCTTCCTGGTGTTGGTGGAGTCTGTTCGTTAGTTTCCAGCCACCCAGACCTGAGATAATCACTGGCCTAGACCTCACAGAGCTCCGCCTGCTTCTGCCTCCCAAGTGTTGGGATTAAAGGTGTGTGCCTCCAGCCCCTGTGAAAGAGGAACTCTTAGTTTCATATGCAACACAAAGGATCTCAGTCAGCAATCTTTTTCTTTCAAGTTACCTCAACGAGAATCCAGCTGAGTGAATGAGCAAAATGCAGATTCGCAGCTCTCCAGTGAGCAGAGGAGCTTGTGCTCTCCGGTGGCCTAAATGCCACTCAGGTGAAGAAGCACGAGACACTCTATATACTAGTCTGTGTCAATGATCTTGGTAAAACAATTGACAGCTGGAAGTTTTCCAGGAAACCCGTCACCCTTCCGGAGAATCTCTTCTCCCCAGGAGACTTGCTCTGCGGAGCACAGGCTCCAAAGCTACAGAGAAACCCTGTCTCGAAAAACCAAGAAACCTACTTGATCATGATGGATAATTTTTCTAATGTGTTCTCGGATTCAGTTTGCCAGTATTTTATTGAGAATTTTTGCGTCGATATTCATGAGTGAGATAGGCCTGTAATTCTCTTTCTTGGTTGGGTCTTTGTGTGGTTTTGGTATCAGGGTAACTGTAGCTTCATAAAAGGAATTAGGCAATGCCTCTTCTGTTTCTATATTGTGAAATACATTAAGGAGTATAGGTATTAGGTCTTCTTGGAAGTTCTGGTAGAATTCTGCATTGAAACCATCTGGTCCTGGCCTGGGATAAAACCAGACTCGCTGAACGTAGCAGACAATGAGGTCTACTGAGAACTCAAGAACAATGGCAATGGGTTTCTGATCCTACTGCACTTACTGGCTTTGTAGGAGCCTAGGCAGTTTGGATGCTCACCTTACTAGAACTGGATGGAAGTGGGGGTTCCTTGGACTTTCCACAGGGCAGGGAACCCTGATTGGTCTTTGGGCTGAGGAGGGAGGAGGACTTGATTGGGGGAGGGGGAGGGAAATGGGAGGCGGTGGCGGGGAAGAGACAGAAATCTTTAATAAATAAATTAATTAAAAAAAAAGAAAAACCAAGAAAAAAAAACACAAAACAAAACAAAACAACAACAACAAAAATACGCAACAGCAACGTTTACCTTCGTGAGTGGATCCGATGTTACTTTTACGTCACAGTCTAACAGAATATCATTTCCTTCAAATTCCTCGCTCTTTTTACTAGATTTCTTCAGCAGAAAAGATGACAAAAATTCCAGAGGTTTGTCCTGAAAAATGCCCCCCCCCAACACACACAAAAAATTCAATTTAAAATATTCCTCTGGCATGTTAAACATACGACAGAAAAGAGCAGGTCAGGTGGTAAAGCGCCTGCGTGAGCTTAAGGACCTGAGTTCTGACCCCAGCACTGAGGAACAACTCGGCTCAGGTGCTCAGGTGCTACTGTGCCTGTAACCCCCCCCCCCCCCCCCGCCCGTGGGTGTTCATATGGATCCCCAGAGCTCAGTGGCCAGCTGGCCTAACTGAGCAGTGAGCTGCAGGGTTACTCTGTCTCAAAACAGGAGGCAGAAAGTGATCAAGGAAAACACCTCTGGCTTACAGACACACATACATGTCACACACATGTACCACACACTTTTTTTTGGGGGGGGGGCCACCAACCAGCTTCCAAATCATGACGCCCACTTTTGAATGCTTGGCCTTAGGTTAGCTCTTTTCTGAATAGCTCTTTTAACTTAAATTAACCTGTTTCTCTTTATCTACCTTTCGCCTTGGGGCTTTTTACTTTCTTTCTGTATATTTTACGTTCACTGCTTCTCTTGTCTGCTGGCTGTTGGCTCTCTGGTTTCTGACTCTGTGTGTTCCTTGTTCTCTCCTCGGTCTCTCCTCGTTCTTCTTCTTCTTCTTCTTCTTCTTCTTCTTCTCCTCCTCCTCCTCCTCCTCCTCCTCCTCTTTCTCCTCCTCCTCTTTCTCCTCCTCCTCTTCTTCCTCCTCCTCTCTCTTTTTGAGCCTCAATTTCTCCTATTTATCCTTTCTGCCTGCCAGTCCCGCCTATCCTTTCTCTGCCATGCTATTGGCTGTTCAGTTCTTTATTCTACCAATCAGGTGCCTTAGGCAGGCAAGGTGAAACAAATGCAACACATCTTTTCATAATGAAATAAACGCAGCATAAATTCACCTTTGCACAGTTGAAGTAATATTCCTCAGCATAAACCAATGTAACACATCTTTGCCCAGTTAAAATAATATTCTACAACACATACATGCACATGCATGTGCGCTACACATGGATACATACAAAAGAGTACACATTTCTACCAGAGTTTTCAGCTCCCTGCTTAAATCATAGGACTAGAAAACAAAGTAATTGTTATTCAACTAATATTAGTAGATTTGTGCTCATCCCATATTTTGGTTCTCAGCTTTTTTCCACAATCCAAGGCTCGCTCAAGATCTTTAGACTCAAAGTGGTTCACAACAGCCCTTGGCAACATGAGAAAAAGGCCAGCATGGATCTTGTGGTCTCTCAGGAGGGAAGCAAGCCTAGGAGAGAGGCAGGGCGGCACCGCTGATGAGGAACACATCAGCTCCCTATGGGGGCTACTTCCTTCTCACACTGTAGGTTTGAGCCTCATCAAAATTATGCCGTATATGCTTATTTGTCCACCAAACAAGTTTAGCCAGTTGGTATTTGAGAGAAAGTACAGGGTCTTTCCAGGCCTTTGGATCTCTGTGAACATCTATGATCACTTCAACAGAGAAATAAGGCTGACATATCACTGAGCTGAGGCTACGCCAGGCAGTCTATGGCTAAGAGTAATTCCATACAGGGTAGCTAAGCCTGCAGCTATCTGGTGCTGTCCCAGAAAACCAAGAGAAACCAGAGCAGACAAAGAGCAGCAAGGAGAAGGCACGTGTGCAGAGATCATGTTTAAATGACAGAATCACCACAGGAGGGGGTCAGTTTTTGAAGAGTAAAGAGCTTGCACAGCCCTGAGACTGCACCAATCGTGGCTTCTCCTCTCTTATTCTGGACTTCCTCCAAATGTCTGGTCATTTCCTTTGGCTTCACAATTATCCTTGAGGCTTTGAGAAAGGGAGTCCATGGACTAAAGCTTGTGTGTGTGTGTGTGTGTGTGTGTGTGTGTGTGTGTGTGTTAGGGCTTATATTGCTATGAAGAGACACCATGACCACAGCAACTCTTACAAAGGAAAACATTTAACTGGGCTGGCTTCCAGTTCAAAGGTTTAGTCCATTGTCATCATGGTGAGACATGGAGGTGTGCAGACAGACATGGTGCTGGAGAATGAGCTAAGAATTCTACATCTTGATCCAAAGGCAACAGGAAATGCACTGAGACAATGGGCATGGCTTGAACATATATGAGATCTCAAAGCTTATTCCCACAGCAACACACTTCATCCAACAAGGTCTTACCTGCTCCAACAAAGCCACACTTCCTATGAGCTTATGGGGGCAAGTTACATTCAAACTACCAGTGTGTGTGTGTGTGTGTGTGTGTGTGGTGTGTAAGCCAGAGGACAATCTTGGCACTGCCCACTTTTTATTTTAAAGAGCGTTTCTCATTGGTCTGGAACTCACCAAGTAAACAGTGCTAGCTGGTCAGAGAGGCCCAGGGATCCACCTGTTTCTCCCTCTGCAGCACTTGGATAACAAGCATCTGCCTCCATACCTCACTTGCTTTCACATAGGTTCTGGGAGTCAAGCTCAGGTCCTCACACTTGCAAAACAGGCCCTGTCCTGCCTATGCTAGCTCCCCAGCCGGCTAATCTCTTAGAGTCTTCTGAAATGTACGCTGACTTTTCTGGCAAACTGTCCAAAATGGCCTGATAATACAAATACTTCTTGAGACTCCCCCAACTATTCCTATCCCCAAAGGCTGGCTCGCCTAGCTTTCTTTTGTGTTTTCTTTCCTACTCTCTCTTTCATCTAAGCCCCTTGCCTATCATCATTTTGCACCTGTTTCACATGCTTCAGTTCCCCGGCTTACACTAAAGAATAACATTTATGTGGACTATCAGGTCATGAACTTGTTTTCTGATGAGGTCACTTCTGACTGAAATTAGGCACAAGATAGAAAACAGCACAGAAATCAATAGACTTTAAATAACCCAGAAGTCCTCCTGCTTCTCTGTTTTATATACTTAGTATACCACATCTTGTCTCCAAAATCTCACTGAGCCTGCTTTTATAAACTGACGGGATTTCTCTGAGGAACTCTGTCCCAGAATGATAAACTGGTAAAAGATAACAATCATAAACTAAGGGTTTATTTGTGCTGAAATTTTTCTGGTTTTTGTCTTTCAGCCACAACACTTACAGATCCTTCTTTTGACAACTCCACCAGCCCATCCGCCAGAGCCTGTGCAGCATCTTGGTTATCTAGGATGCTGGTCATACTCAGAGAGTCAAACATAAGTTGCCCTGAAATATAAATAAGGCACACACGCTGTACTTAACTCACGCCAGACATGTGATACTGAAGAAAAGGGTCACTATAGTTGTTTTCAGTGGACAACAATACAAGGACCAAAGTTTTCTTATTGCCATGAGAAGCTCTGTCATAAACCAGGAAATGAGCCAAAGCGATTTCAATGTGGCAAAACCGATATTGAAAAGGGAATCTAAGAATCTGACAAAAATAAAGGAAAATTATGAATGGAACCTTGTTTGTTAGTTGTTCCAGCTAAACAGTCTCCCATTTCCCTCACCTTGTGTTCAATTGTAAATATTTTAAGTTCAGAGAAAGTCGCTTTCATATAAGATATCTATCCATTTTAATATTTTAATATTTACATACTTTACTGGGAAATATTTTTCCCCATTGACTTCTCGTTGCCAATACATTTTCATAAAAAATAATCTGCTTTTCCCCTTTTTCTATCTAATCCTTAGTATTTATAAAAGAAAAAGATTTATTTTTCCTGGTTTATAGTTTTTGTTTTGTTTTGTGGTTGTTTTTGTTTTGTTTTGTTTTGTTTGTTTGTTTGGGATACAGGGTTTCTCTGTGTAGCCCTGACTGTTCTAGAACTCACTTTGTAGACCAGACTTGCCTTGAACTCAGAGATCCATCTGCCTCTGCCTCCTGAGTGCTGGGATTAAAGGTGTGCACCACCACTACCAGGCTGGTTTATAGTTTCCAAACTATTTAAGAATATCGGTTTGACATTTCCTAGACGTGACAGAGCAGGTGGCACAGGAAAATGCAGGGGAAGATCTCGACATAAGAGGCATTTGTGAAGCAAATGTACCGTGGACAAAGTGCCGTTGTGGACACACGTGTGCGCCTGTCTGTGTGCACAATACAGAGAGAAAGAAGGCACGGGTCTGTAGTGTTCAAATGGTACAGTCTTAGTCCGGTGGAATGTTTAAGATTTGAAGAGATGGTCAGAGGTGAAGGGGGACATATTTACCCAAATGGTGAAAGTGCCTCTTGCTAAAGAATGAGCTGGTTTAGTTTGTGATCTGGTGTTGAGACTGTACATTATTCCACAAAGATCGGTATGCTAACTGGAGCAGGGGGATGGAGTGGGGATGGAAAATTGATTCAGTGATGTCCAACAGGCTCATTAAAAGACCATGGAGAGCCGGGCGGTGGTGGCGCACACCTTTAATCCCAGCACTTGGGAGGCAGAGGCAGGCAGATCTCTGTGAGTTCGAGGCCAGCCTGGTCTACAAGAGCTAGTGCCAGAAGAGGCTCCAAAGCTACAGAGAAACCCTGTCTCGAAAAACTAAAAAAAAAAAAACTAAAAAAAAAAAAGACCATGGAGCCCAGCACCAAGCTCCATCTTTTATTTTATTGTTTATGAAGAAAATTATAATATATAATTTATATGCATAGTTGGAGGGGAACCCAAATGGACTTATCTACCTGAAGCATCCGTATAAATTATGCATTTTAGATAATAACTGAACTGTAGAACAAGTTGTGTAATAGACACCATGGGTAAGAAGTGCTTAGCATCTGGAAAGTTGTGGTGTGAAAAGATACAGTTTTCTAGTTGGGCAAAAAGCAAGTTTTGTCCCGGGCAGATGGGCTGCCATACGGACCAGTAAGATGGAGAGACCTGAAAACAGGAGTCAGTTCCAACACTCTGAGCACGGCTAGTTTTCTCTTGAGTGTTTGAGAAACCGCGATGGTGTTTGACCGAGCCTGTGGTACAGCTGGGTTTTCCTTCTGCTGTTCTGGGTCTTGAATTTTCTCAGGGAATAGATAAGCTCTGGTCTGATCTGCGCAAGTGTCAGAGATCTTACCCAGGATCCGGCCGCTGATGCTCCTCTGCAAGTTCTTGAAGAGTGGGCGGAACTCCTTCCTCACTGACTTCAAGGTGTCTTCCAGGGAGTCCGTGAAGTTGGTCCATGCCTGCAGCTTAGACTCACTGAAGTAGTCAGAAGGAGGCGGCCTGTCCTGCTGTGGCCCCAGCCAGTCACTAAGAACTGACAGGATTTCTATTGAAGACTTGAGATCATTGTGTGTGTGTGTGTGTGTGTGTGTGTGTGTGTGTGTGTACACATATGTGTAGAAGTGTATGTGTGTGAGTGTACATGTGTGCACTTCCATGTAGAGGCCAGAGGTCAACTCAAAGGGTGTTTCCCAGGTGCTATCCACTGTGTTATTTGAGACAAGGCTTCTTTCATTGGCCCTGAGCTCTCCTAGTAGCTCAAGACTTGACCTGAGGCAGGGGGTTTCTACTTTTTGTTTAAAGTACGACCAGCTCAGCTGTCTTGATACTGGGCATAGTGGACTTTCTCAGGAGAAGATAAGCAGCCACAGCCTGCTTTCGGTGGTAAAATAAGAAACTCAAAAAGGACATCATGAATGCCCGTCTGTTCGTGGCAGATAAGGTTGACATGGTCTGCTCGCAATTAGAAACGAAATCGCTGTCTGGTGCTTTGGGAAGCAGAGGAGATAGATGTAAGTAAGGATGTGTCTCTCCATTCTAAAGTGAGAAGTCTTCCTACTTAGCACTTCCCACACCCTGCCTTGCCATTCGAGGTCAACCCCCCAGCAGCCCCTCCTCCTCTCTTTCTCAAATTATGGGGAACCCAAAATATTCCGCATGACTGTGGTGGATGGGGGAGAAAGTCAGACTCCTTGCAAAGCAATTGCATCATGATGGAGCGGCCCACTGGCGTGTTGTTGGTGCAGGTTTTTACTGGAATGGATAATCAGATCCATTGTGTTTCCCGGCCCTACAAGCATGCGCATGCGCAAGACTCTCCACTGTGTTCCTTTACAAGGAGAGTAAGAAGAAACGACCAAAGGAGAAAGGGGCAGGAGGAGAAAAAGAAGTACAGCTGTCTCTTAGGGCAAGCAACAGGGCCCAAACCTTGCTGTGCTGAGCTAGGCAATTCTCTCCACAGAGCCACAGGCACCATCGTTTGCTGATGCTGAACGAACTGCAGTGAACCTGCCGTCTCTGAACTACGAAGTCAGTGCACTTTCTGTTCCCCTACATGGAGTCGTTTCCCTTACAAGTCTCACACTGGTGCCAACTCTCCCCAGTCATGAAAGGCCCTTGGGGACTAAAGAATCAGTGTTCCTGTCATCTCCAAGGCAGCCCAAGCCCTGTTTGGTAGAAAGAGGGGAGTTTTCAACTAGAAAATGACGAGTGACCTTGTAGGATAGCAACGTGGTTCTCCTGTCAGCCAGTGTTGCATTTTTTTTTTAAGCCAATATCAGTAGCTTTATTTATTGAGTCAGTGAAGGTGGATATGCAGGCATATTTTCTCTTTTGATCCATTTCCCTTCTTGATCATGCTACTCCGTGGGATCTGAGCAAAGCTCCTTACAGCTCCAATTTCTGTTCCCAAATAAAACCTAAGCCATTCTTTTTTTTTTTTTTTTTTAACTAGAAAAACACATTCCCTAAACCCAGCTCTGGAAGGGACAACATCCACTCAGAGAGAGTGGCAATTGCCGCCGGTAGATCGGAATCATTGTACAACAGCAAAGGTGTAGAGCTACTGCTTGCTGGTGAAGAGAAACGAGACAAGGAGCGTGTTTGCCTAGCCCTTGTCCTCCAGGGACGCCGAAGCGGCCGTCTGTGACTGGGCTCAGCAGCCAGCTCTCCTCCTGTACACTTACTGTGTTGGAATGAACCAGTCGCGATTCCGGTGGGGGCGGAGAAGAATGTGCCAGTTAGCTGAGACAGCTGAGAAAGAACTTCTAGGCCTGCTTCTGCACATTCAAAAAACAAAAAGCTTGTATTAGTTTACTCACAGGTTTCTTGGAAACAGTAAACTCTTACTGAGAAGCCTGGCAGAGCTGGCCAAGAAAGACCACTGGCAACTGTCATCTTCAAGTCAAATCCTTCTGTCAAAGAGCCCGTAAATGCCTCACCTTTACCCCCATGGACAGATGTCCACACACCTATTTGTGAGAACAGAGCGATGAGGTGTGGAAGAGGGCAGGCAGCTTGAGCAAATGCTTTCCTTCAAGTTGGGAATGTTTAAGTCAAAGACAGAAAACCTCATGGGTTTCCTAAAGTATTCTGAGAAAATGGGAATTGTCATTGATTGTGGACTGAGTTGAAACAGATAAACAGGGTGGAACAACATGCCAACATTTATTGTGGCGTTAATTTCTCCTCTTCCTTGGTGACACAGACTGGAATATAAAGTGGATTACAGAATTCAGCGACTACATTGAATTGCTTGAGAAGAAATTTGCATAAAATGGATGGGGCATTTTAATTCTCTGTGGTCCAAAAATAAATACCCTATTGCTTCTAGGCACAAGATGGTAGAAGCTGATGGGGTTAGATGGTATTTTCACTGACAATTAAGTCAGACGGAGAGTCCACAAGAGCTCAGAGACAGAGAGTGGACTCAAGTCCATATCAACCATGATTGCAGTAAACTTGTACATAAAGTTCACGGTGAAGGGAGAGAGGGACAAAAGGCTTCCCTACAGGAATGGTGCTGGGAAAATAAGTCCCCATATGTAAAATAAATTAAATTTCAGCTCAAGTCTTGTATTCTGAAATAAATCAATTGGCCCACAGACCTAAATGCCAAACTTAAACATAAACTCCTATGATGTGCAGGAGGGAATCTTTATGATCTTTGATTTGTAAGGAATTTTAAACATGGGGACAGGAGAAATGGCACAGAGGTTAAATGCCCTGGCTTCACTTCCAGAGAATCCAGGTTGGATTCCCAGTACCCACAGGCTCCTGACAACCTGGTGTTAACTCCAGTTCTGGAGGATCTGACGCCCTCTTCTGGCCTCCATGGACACTGCACCCATGTGGTACAAACATACACATGACAGAACACCTACCTACAGGCATAAGATTTTAAAATACATATTTTTTAAATAATTTAAAAATATGACAATAAAACATAATTACAGAAGCAAAGATAATAAATTTGATTTCATCAAAACTAAGAAATTCTTCTGTTCAGTGGAATCTTCAGAGAAGGAAAACATGAGGCAGCAACTGGAAAAACAATCTACCCTTCAAAATCTGCTAGATACTTGAACAGACACTGAGGAAGGTTTTTAAATGGCGGATAAGTACATAGAAAGATGCTCAGCGTTGTGACTCAGTAGGAGTCTGCACATCAGAACCACTATGAGATGCTTCTGTATCCACTTGAATGGCTAAAACCAAAGTGTCAAGTGTCGAGCAGTTCTCTGGAAAAGGAAAGGGGTACAACAGGCCAGCTGGCTTTGTAAAAGTTGAGTGCGCACCCCTGGGATGGTATATACCTTAGGGGAGTGACTGTACACACCCCTACACATGCTCATAGCAACCTCACTTATAAAATACATAGTATAGACAAAGAAATTACAGTATACAGGGTAACCGTATTTCATGCAATCATTACAATGGTAAAAAGGAATGAGCCATTGATCCAGGCATTAAATGGATTCATTCGTGAAGGCACCTCAGAAACACACAAAAATGACATCATGGGTAGACACGTCCCCTGCCTTTCTAGATCCTGATGCTGACCTGATGCTCCAAGTGGCGCAAAGAAGTCTACCCGGCCCCCTTCTTCTTCGGCGGCCACATAGCTTCCCAGCTTCTCCCAGAAGTCTCTCACTTCAGGCCATAGTAAATTTTTAATAGAAATTTTATAGCCTAAGGAAAAAAATTAAAATTATCAATATTGGTTTTTTACATCACCATAAGCAGAAACTTTTGGCACATTGTGGAATTAAAATCACAAATTTAAGACATAATATTTGCCCATAAAACCAAGATAGTCAATTGGTGTGGAGGTCCTTCTGTGTATGTGTTGCTTTTATTGGTTAATGAATAAAGAAACTGCCTTGGCCTGTTGATAAGGCAGAACTTAGGTAGGCAGGGAAAACTGGACTGAATGCTGGGAGAAAGAAGGCAGAGAGAGACGCCATGGAGCCGCCAGAGTCAGACATGCCAAAACTTTGCTGGTAAGCCACTGCCACGTGGCGATACACAGATTAATAGAGATGGGTTAAATTAATATAAGAGTTAGCCAATGAGAAGCTAAAACTAATGGGCCAAGCAGTGATTTAATTAATACAGTTTCTGTGTGGTTATTTTGGTTCTGGGTTGTTGTCACAAACAAGCAACTTGCTCCTTGTAACAGCCAGTGTGCCTGTGCTTCATAGAGCACCATGTTAGGGCCACGAAAAGTGCCACTGAACTGCTTTGTGGCCAAAGGCTCTTTCACACTCTAGATTAATCCGGTGTTATACACTTATGCTTTTGTCATTGTGTTTCTGCCTTCACTGCGCAGCACTGGGAGTCACCAGACTTGAGCAAAGTTTAAGGTGAATGGAGTCCTGGGATCTTGCAACTAACTTTCAAAGTAGAAAGAACTCCCACAAGTGTCAATGAAAAAATGAGGTCAGAGCAGAGGTGAGGCTCCCAGAGTTGGCAATCATCACCTCAAACTCTCCTTTATCCCCAATTCCTCGGGGGTGATTTGTGACTTGTTCTGCCTATTGTGGAATATTCCTTTACACTCTGTGAAGATGTGTCACTGTGATTGGGTTAATAAAGAGCTGAATGGCCATTAGCTAGGCAGCAAGAGGTTGGGCAGGAGGACTTCTAGGGACACAGAGAAGAAAGGCATTGTTGCCAGACAGTCACGGAGGATGCAGGATGAGCAGTGCAGAGTAAAGGTAACTGAGTCACATGAAAGAACATAGATTAAAAAATATGGGTTAGAAGAATGGATAAGGAAAATGCGGTACATTTACACAACGGAGTACTACACAGCAGAAAAAAATAACGACATCTTGAATTTTGCAGGCAAATGAATGGAGCGAGAAAACATCATATTGAGTGAGGTAATCCAGACCCAGAAAGACAATTATCACATGTACTCACTCATAAGTGGTGTTTAAACATAAAGCAAAGAAAAACCAGCCTACAAATCACAATCCCAGAGAACCTAGACAACAATGAGAACCCTAAAAGAAATATACATGGATCCAATCTACATGGGACGTAGAAAAAGACAAGATCTCCTAAGTAAATTTGGACCTTTGGAGAGGGTTGAAGGGGAGGGGAGAGGCAGGGAGGGGAGCAGAGAAAAATGTAAAGCTTAATAAAAATAAATAAAATTTTAAAAATGGGTTAATTTAAGTTATAAGAACTAGTTAGGAACAAGTCTAAGCATAAGTCTAGCTTTCATAATTAATAACAAATCTCTATGTCATTTTTTTTATGAGCTGGCAGCCTAAAGTAAAAGCCTGCTACCCTGTCATTTTACAAGTTCCCTGGAAGCTAGAGCATCCAATTTATTTCCTCTTCTCTCATTCAGCATGATTGGAAGTTTTGATGTTAATAAAATTAAAACAGTTCTGCTTTAGAAATAAGCAAGGGGGAATGCAAGTTATATATGAAGGGTAAAAAAATCCTCTGAAGGGGTAAATATTGATGAGATTTTTTTAATCTCCTCATAACAAGTTAGTTATATCGGCCATTTCTTTCCTTTGCAATACAAGCCAAATGGGACTTCATCAGAGGTGGTAAAGTTCATACCAATATTTCTACTGTGGTGTTCATTGTAATTACTATTCTTTCATCAAACTCAAAACTTCTCACATAAAGTATAAAGGACATCTTGGTGTGATGGTTTGAATAAGAATGGACCCCCGTAGGCTCACATGTTTGAACGCTTAATCACCAGGGAGTTGCACTATGTGAAAAGATTAGAAGGATTAGGAGGCGTGGCCTTGCTGGAATAGATGCGACCTTGTTGGAAGTGTGTTGCTGGGGGTGGACTTTAAGGTTTCAAAAAGCCCATGCCAGACCCCCCCCCACTCTGCTTATAGATCAGGATGAGACTTGTAGCTACTTCTCCCACACCATGGCTGCCTGCCTGCTGCCATGCTTCCTGACGTGATGATAATAGACTAAACCTCGAAATGTAAGCATGTCCCCAACAAAACGCTTTCTTTCAATTGATCATGGTGTCTTTCACAGTAATAAAACAGCCACTTTGACAATATAGTAGGGAAGAAAATGCTGGCAAATCACACATCTGGTAAGGAATTAATATCTATAACATACAACCAATCGCTACAACTCAACCTATTCAATAATCAGCCCTCTTTTTAATAAGTAAAGGGCTTGTTTTCAGAAAATACACAAATGGGCAACAAGGCCCCGACAGACAGATGTTCAGCATCACTCATCAACAGAGATGGGCAAATCAAAACACAATGCGATTGGACCCTATGAAAACAAAAACCTTTAGCAAGTAAGTGGCACAGAGGACTTGGTATACTTGTACATTGTTGATAAAAAACAGTTATGGAAAACAGTATGGAGGCATTTTAAACTAACAAGAGAGGCACTATACTTATAGGTATATCTCCATAATCACTGAAAGCAAGAGCCAAAGAGGTATGTCGTTATTCATGACAACCAAGAAGTAGAAGCAACCGGAACGACTACTAAGTGGATGGAGCAGCAAACAAACTGGAGCGCATACATAGAGTGCGTTAGTATTCATCCTTAAGAGAGAAAAAAAAAATCAACGGGTACAGTGTATGAACCCTGAGAGTGTAAGGGAAAAGACGAAGCAAGGGATTCCACTTCTGGATTTAAAGGATATGGAGGTTATTGGGGACAGGACTAGGGGAGGAAGGCAGATGTTCCTTGAGTTTCAATTTTGCAAGATGGAAAAGCTTTACAGAAATGTGAATGGGGCAGTGGCACACACTTTTAATCCCAGCACTCAGGAGGCAGAGGCAGGCAGATCTCTGTGAGTTCTAGTACAGTCTGGTCTACAGAGTGAGTTCCAGGACAGCCAGGGCAACACAGTGAACCGCTGCCTTAAAAAAAAAAACAAAAAGAAAAAAAAAGAATGTGAATAAACAAACCATACACTTAAAGAGGATTAAGATTGTAACCATTATGTTGTGATTTTAATCACAATATTTAAAATTATTATCAAAAATCATCAAAAGCTACTTTACATTTTTCATGACCACACAATGAACCTTTCCTAGTGAATGAGAAGTTAACAGCATTGCTGTGACGGTCACGTGTGGGTAAGCATTGCAAACACTCCAACTGTGGGACTGTTCTCCGCCAATCCCGGGACCAACCTTGGAGTAAGTCAATTTCTCGGCTGTTTCCACCGCTAAATATTCCCAGGCTCTGTGCCTTCCGCCCTTGCAGAGCTCTGACTAGGAGAAGAAGCAGGCCCTCCAAGGTCACACCGCTGTGTTCGTAGGGCACGGTCACGACGCCCACCTTAACACTCTCCACCACCATCTGGAAGCGAGACAGCAGCTGTAGGAGTCGGTGTGTGTGTGCTTTAGAGCTAGCTGAAGAAGCCAGGTGATGTGCAATACGCTATCGTTGCTGAAGAATTGTTTCAGAAAGTACAGAAGGAAGAAGCTAAGCTTCTTTATTTCTTCTCTAATTGTGAGGGAAATAGGAGGTTCATTTGCAACCCCATCATGCAGATAAATAGTATGGACAATTTCGGTTACTTTTCTTCCACCCTCTTTATTTTTTATACATGCCATCTAGATTTATGCACAACTTATTAAAAACAATAAAATTGAATTAATACCATTTTGCAATGGACTTCTTAAGTAGATTTTAAAATCTAAATATATATATAATGAAAATACATAACTTCATTTCACTTTATTTTTATATTTTGAGACAGTCTCATTATATGGTCCTAGCTTACTTAATACTCCAGGTTGGTCTCAAATTTCATCTATCCTCCTGCCTCAGCCTCCTAAATGCTTGGATTACAGGTACACACTACTATACCTAGCTATAATTTCATTTTGTAATAATCATATTTTGATTTAATGGCACCATTTTTAAATAGATCATGAAGCAGTACTTCTAGCCCACTTTTGAAAACTATTGGTCACATAATATTATTAAACTTCTTGGGAATTCTGGAAGTCTTAAATATTTTTAATCATTATGCCAACTATTTTTTTAGTAATTAATTAATTTTTACATATCAATCCTAGTTCCCCCTCCCTCTTCTCCTCCAGCTCTCCCCATCTTCCCTCTACCCTACCCCCAATCAGCTCCTCAGGAAGGGTAAAGCCTCCCCTGGGAAGTCGGTTAAGTCTATCCCATCATCTCCTTGAGGCAGGACCAAGGCCCTGCACCCTTACCCCGTGTTAGGCTGAGTAAGGTATTGATGGAGGAAGGTCATTGGTTAAATAAAAAGAAACTGCTTGGCTCTCATTGGTTAGAAGATAGGTGGGAGGAATAAACAGAACAGAACGCTGGGAGGAAGAGGAAGTGAGCTCAGACTCCACAGCTCTCCTCTCGGGAGCAGACGCCTCAGAGAGACGCCATGCTCCCAGCTCCCAGGCAGACGTACGCAATGAAGCTCCGACCCAGGATGGACATAGGCTAGAATCTTCCCGGTAAGCGCACCTAGGGGCGCTACACAGATGATTAGAAATGGGCTAAATTAATATGTGAGAATTAGCCTAGAAGAGGTGAGATAGAAATGGGCCAAGCAGTGATTAAATGAATACAGTTTGTGTGTTGTTATTTCGGGCATAAGCTAGCCAGGCAGCTGGGGTGCTGGGGGCGCAGCCCCGCCGCCCTTATTACTACAAGGTATCTCTCCATAGAGAATGGGCTCCACAAAGTCAGTTCATGCATTGGGTTAGTTAAATCCTGGTCCCACTGCCAGTGGCTCTGCACGTTGGCCAAGCCACATCATTGTCACCTGCATTCAGGGGGCCTAGTTCAGTCCTATGTAGGTTCCCCAGTTCCCCAGCTGTCAGTCTTCCACTAGCTCAAGTCAGCTGATTCTGTGGTATTCCCATCATGGTCTTGACCCCTTTGTTTATAGTATCACTCTTCCTGCTCTTCGATGTACAATGGTTAAGAGCACTGACTGCTCTTCTAGAGGACTAGGGTTCAATTCCCAGCACCCATATGGAAGCTAACAAATCTCTATTAACTCCAAGGTCTGACACCCTCACAGAGACATTCAAGTAGGCAATCACCAATGCAAATAAAAATAAATAAATAAATAAATTATAATGGGGCACAGCCCCATAGGATTTTCTGAAGGAGGCAGAGGCAGGAGACTCACGAGTTTGAGACCAGCCTGGGTTGGCTACCTTTTCTAAGAGCAACAAGCTCAATCCAATAGGAGTGTTTTGACACCAGCTGCTCACACAGCAATCTGGACCTCTCATGCTTTCTCAAAATAAGTTTGATTACTTTTATATTTATTGCATTCAGTTTTTAAGACTGTATGGGTCTTGTAAATGTTCACTTGATTAGACAGTGTTCCTCTCGGAAGATGAATCATTTTCACACACAGGACAGCCAAAAGATTTTGTTAGTCTAGATGGAAGAAAAGCCATCCAGGGAAGGGCGTCCCTCCTAGGACAGCAGTACCTCATAGGCGGGAATCCGCGATGAGATCAGGATGACGCGCGGTTGCAAGGCACAGGAAGAGCTGTCATCGGTTCCTCCAACCCCGTGATGATTTTTCTTTACTAAGAAAGGAGAGGGGTGGCTTCCAGAGAGATTGCTTCTGTACGAGATGAGAGGGAGGGATAAAAACCCTAATTCTCCGCTAGTATGACTTTTGATAAGTGCCAGTATCCTATGAACACTGGTGGACAGCAGAAGGCCAGCACCCGTGAGTTCTCAAGCTCTCCCAGCAGTCCGAGGGATAGAGACAGACAGGGGTCCCAGGCTGGCCAAATCTGTCCCCTTGTCTCTCCACTTCCACATGAGGAATGCAGGGAAAGCTTCTTGACTCTCACTTAGCTTTTATTGGGCTCTTAAATACCATGATACACCTAAGGGCTCAAAACTGTATTTTAAAAGGGGTAGCCAAGCAATTCATAATTCACTTCTGGCCCTTAGGGGTTCCTAGGTAACATTTCCATTATTTCCACAGCCCCATCCCCACAGTTACCGAGGATGAGAGATGCCCTATGCTTCCTAAGATTCTTTATGTGCCCTCAGATGAGTGAGACGTAAGGCCACACTCACAAATGTTCCAACCCAGATCTGCATGTGACGTCAGTGGTGAAGCTGAGGAGGGTTGGAATGTGAGAATTTGGGTCCCAGTACTTATGACAGTTGGATGAGTCACGTCACCTGTAGACTTCAGTGTCTTCATTCAAAATGTTAGTGTGGAATCCAAAGTGAAAAGCAAAATAATCCTTTTTTTTTTCCCCGTTTCTAAGCAGCTCCTCAAGTTTTGGAAGTTACAGACGTCACATAGGAGAGTAGGTAGAATAAGAACAGAATCCTTGGGACTGGAGGGATAGGTAGAATAAGAACAGGATCCTTGGGACTGGAGGGATAGGTAGAATAAGAACAGGATCCTTGGTACTGGAGGAGTGGCTCAGCAGTTAAGAGCACTGACTGCTCTTCCAGAGGCCCAGGGTTCTATTCCCAGCACCCACATGGCACTCACAACTGTCTGTAACTTCAGTTCCATGGGGTCGGGCACCCTCACACATACCTGCAGGCAAAACACCAATGCACATAAAATAAAAATAAAGTTAAAAAAAAAAAAGAACCGCCTTCTGGCACCGTGCTCGTTTATTATGACTTGAATTGCTGAAAACAGCTGCCATTTCTCTAATTTCAGTAGGAAAAGAAAACTGTGTTTAGATTACCAATATAAATGGGAGTTTGTCCACATTTGTTTGGATGCTTCTATAATTTGGATCTGCAGTTTCCCTCAGGTATTAAAGGCTTGGTCACCAGTTCATGGTGCTATTCAGGGGTAGGGTGGATATTTAGGAGGTGGACCTAGTAGAAGGAAGTTGGGTCATCGAGGGTGTGCTTTTGAATGGACTAATGGCACCCTAGTGATGTCACCTTTTCCTCTCCACTTCCTGAGCACCATAAAGTGAGTAAGCCTCCCTATCATGTGTTTCCACCATGATGCGCCATGCTACTATAGGCCCAAAGCAATGGAAGCAAGTGTTCATGAAGCCATGAGCTAAAATAGACCATCTTTATAAGTTTTATTATGTTAAGCATTCATTAGGCCAGTGGGAAAGTGACTAACAAAGACATTGTGCAGTTACTGTTACTCCATAAAAATGTAGGGAAATTCCATTTTTGCTCATCAGCTTTAGAAAATATATGATATCTACAATATGTCTTTACCATAGGGTTAAAAGTATATTAGACATAAGTTTTGAACATTACATATTTCCCTCTTCAGAAAGCTTTTAAAGGCTGCTATTCTTGAATATGAAGTCATTAATTCCTTATCTGGGATTTCATAGAATGCATCCAATTTCTGAAGATCCCTCTGTTGGCTAAATAATTCTATAATGAATTCTCTATGGCACAGGAGAGTCCCGAGCCCTCGGTAGATAGAAGCTTGCTCACCGTGTGGGCAAAGCATTTAAAGATGCCAGAACAAGCTGCCTCTCCAAAGCTTCATAGAATCCTGCTCCTTCTCTCTGCATCCAAGGACCACCGGGCAGGCTCATGGACCTGGAACAGCGCGTTCCACTCAGCCAAGGGGGTCGAGCTTTGAATAACTCCTCTGAAAAATGAACAGCAGCAGGCTTCCCGTTTACGCCACACTTTCCCCAAGACATCAAAAAGAAAGCTACACCAGGGCAATATTCCAAACAGTAACTATAGCCACTTGCATCCACTCCTATCGGATTTCTCATTTGCTATCTGTCACTTTGAGTCAATCGGTAAAGCTCATAGAACAAGAAGTTCCTCTTGTGAGAACCAAATAACCAGCCCACTGGTTTGCATCCCTTTCTGTCCTTGGCTGGAGGTAATTTTGTGTCTGTCTTCTCAGGGAAGAGTGATGGAGAAGAGGAAGACAAGCCCCAGCCTGTCAACAGTGTATTTTAAGAATATGTGCACATCAGAGGTTTCCCCGAGCCCATGGCCTTATCCTGTTTTCTTCTTGCTTCTTTCAAAGCAATCGCTCTTCTAGGTCTCACTCCCATGCTCGCTCCTCATTTTCACCAGCCCGATTCTTCTGTCCCAAATTTACTTCTCATTTTCTGACTGTGTTTGCATTTCCTCCTCCTTTTATATGTGCACAGGGCAGGGGGGTTGTGTCTGGGAAAGGTCAGAGGTGCACAGATGTATGGGTGCAAACACACAAGTGGCAGTTAAAGGTTGACTTGGCTATGTGCACTGGCCAGGAAACTCCCAGGATCCTTCTGACCTTGCCTCCACCCTAGAACTGGGAATACAAGGCACAAACACCCTACCTAAGGTCCCCTCCTTTTGTGAGTACTACCAGTTTTAACTAGGATCTTCGGGCTAATATGACAAGCATGTTAACCACTGAGCCATTTTACCAGATCCCCTCCTTGTGTATACTCTTACAAACCTGGGAGTAGACTGCCATGGAGGTGGATGCTTGACCTTAGCTATTTTATCAGAAATTATGTTTTTATTACCAATTAACTGAAAGTATAATAACAGAAAAAGGAGCTGGTCTTGAGCATATGGTGATGAGAGCCCCACATGCTCTCTGTCTAGATGGGAGTCTAGATGTAAACCCTTTTGTCCAGTGTCCTGGGTAAGACAGAAACTTTTATAATGCTACTCACTTTTACGGAATGCAATTTTCCCCCAAATGATTTTCCTCAGGCATTTTTCTCTTTGCCTCTCCTTGGACTCCTCATCCTCGGTTTTGGGTTCATTCAGTGTCCCATAAACAGCAGCAGCTTCCCTGGGCGTTAGCCAATCCAAGCTGGACACACAAGCAATGTAGTGGTGCTTCCAAGCTCCATATTCATTCTGTGTTGGAGTATAGGGCAGAAACCACCCAAGCCTCGTGCATTTGGGCATCCATAAGCAGTCCTCCAGAGAAGAACAAGAGCAGGATGAGTGACAGATTTCTAAGGGATAGTTTTCTAACGATGGTGGCTTCAGTCACACACGCCTTATTTTTTTGGTAGACTGACATTTATAGTATTGTTGACTCAATGTCTAAACTTTAATCTACAAAAAGTATAAAGTATATTTTATTCCATATGAAGAATGTTCTTTGGTGAGTATACATTACATTATATATAGATATATAATGTAGTGTACACACACACACACACACACACACACACACACACATATATATGCCATCTTGAAACACAGCATTCTGTCACTTTAACTCTAGATTATGAGAATTCAGGTATAATACTTTGCTTCAGACCAGCCCTCCTGCAGAAGAATTTTTTTTTATTAAACTCATATTATATTGCCGAATTGCAGCGATTTTTGACTTATTAAAAACGGTGAGTTTTATGTGACTCACTGAAATCACTATCTAGATAAAATATAAAAACAAGGAGGGCACAATGGCATGCACTCATGCACCTGTGCTCCAGATCTTTGGGAGGCTGGGATGGGAGGGATGCTATGAGCCCGGGAGTCCTAGGGCATCGATGGAAAAATGTTAAGACTTTAAGAGATGGCAGACAATGTGTGTATGTGCGTGCATGCGTGCATGCGTGTGTGTGTGTGTGTGTGTGTGTGTGTGTACATTCTAAAACTACCAGCACAGTAAAAACCTTGTGTCCTCAAGATCTCAGAACAAAAGAAACAGACCAGTTTCAAGGCAATTGCCAGTTCTTCTTGTTGTTGTTTGGTTTTTAATTCACTATACAACAGAACTGAGAATGACCTTGAATTTCTGACGTTCCTGCCTCAGTCTCTCGAGTGCTGGGATTATAGGTGTATACCACCAGACCTGATTTATGCAGTTTTGGGGACTGACCCCAGGTCCTCAAGAATGACAAGCACCCTATGACTGAGGACTTCCCCAGTCCACATTTGCCAGTTTCAAAGTAACGTGTGCTTAGGCTGTGAAGCAAGCCAAGAGGGTGTGTCTCAAAGACACAGGATCTTTAAAGAAGCAGGGGAGATAAAAAAGGAAGAAAGGAAGGAGGAGGGCAGAAGAAAGAACACAATCTGAAATTCATGGAAGCAGAGACCTGGTTACCACACAGGGGTCTCAACTGAGAACCACTACAGGAAGAGTAAAACTGAGTTATGCTGGAGAGATGACTCAGCGGTTAAGGGCATTGCCCGCTCTTCCAAAGGTCCTGAGTTCAATTCCCAGCAACCACATGGTGGCTCACAACCATCCGTTATGAGATCTGGTGCCCTCTTCTGGCCTTGCAGGCAGACATGCAGGCAGAACAGTGTATATATAATAAATAAATAAATCTTTAAAAAAAGAAGACTGAGTTATGCAAACTATGACAAGGGCTGAGGCCAGCTTTGAAGAAGTTCATTTTTTACGCACGGTCAGTTCCTGGCCTGATCCCACGCTAGAAGCAAAAGTAAATTCTCTCTGGAGGAAGATGACATCATCCAGAGACCCAGATGATGACGTCAGTGTTTTATACCTTATATCTGCACTCAATCAAAAATAATTCAATTACTTAGAAAGACATGAATTCTTTGTTTATCTTTCAGTTCTTAGTAACTAGAGAGAGTTGTGAAGAAGAGCCAAACATTGCTATTATCAGACACAAACTTTGAAATAAATCCTATAATTAATATGCCCAGGAATATTAAGGGGCCAAGTGGGAAGTGTTGGCAACAGAAGCAAGTCAACATTCTAGGCCTGGAAAAGATAATAACTTAATTTTAAAATTCAATAAGCAGACAAGAGCACATTAGAATCTAGCTAAAGAAACAGAAAACTGAAAGGTAGATCAGAAGCAAATCCAGACTTAAACATGAAAAGACAAAATGATGCAAGACTCACTTAAGAGAGTGTGGAGCCAGGCTTGGTGGTGCAAGCTTATAATCCCATCTCTCAGGAGGCATAGCCATAGATACACATACAAATAAATACATGCAATTCATGCATATATACATGGTACTAAATATGATTTTAAAAATAATAACATGTGGAAGAATTTAAAGTATCCAAGAGGATTGATTACATGTGGATACACTGGTGTATATAAAACTCTCAGGCAGCTATGGACTTTGCTATTAGAGGAAGAGGAATGGACTGTATCCAGTCTGCTTTAGGCACACAAGAACAACTATATGTTTATTATATATGTATATGCACGTAATAAAAATATGACAAAAAGGCACGGAAACAGAGAGAGTGATACACAGCTTAAAGAGTCTAAGGTCCTGGCATTGTCTTCAGAGTAATCAGCCAATACAGACTGCATACTATGATGTCCGATAATTATGAACTACTTAACATTTCGAAATGAACAACAAAGATATTTATGCAGGCCAAAGGAAGGCTTAAGTAGAATAGAAACGAAACATAAAAAACAAATGAAAGGGCAACAAGAAGCCGCGTAGCACTCAGGAGGGGTGGGTGTAATCAGAAATCCGGGGTCTTTTGCTACTACAGAACAAGCCCTAAGTCAGCTTAGAATACATGAGATGTTGCCTCAAAAATAATACATTCATTAAAAAATAAACAAAACTGTAAAGATGGTGGGTCTCAACCAAATTATGTCAGAATCTATATGAATATGAATAGACTAAACATTTTGGCTAAAAAAAAATATCAATGTTTGGGCTTAGTGGACAAAGTGCTCCCTCCACACAAACATGAAGACCTGACTTTTGGTCCCCAGAATTCATGTGTGCTGGGCAATTTATGTCAACTTGACACAAGCTGGAGTCATCTGAAAGGAGGGAACCTCAATTGAGTAAATGTCTCCAGAAGGTCTGGCCACAGGGCATTTCTTAATTAGTAATTGATGGGGGAGATCCCAGTCCATTGTGAATGGTGCCGTGCCTGGGCTGGCGGTCTTGGGTTCTATAAGAAAGCAGGTTGAGCAAGTCAGTAAGCAGCACCCCTCCATGGCCTCTGCATCAGCTCCTGCCTCAGGTTCCAGCTCTTCTTGAATTCCTATCCTGACTTCCTTCAGTGATGGACTATGATGTAGCAGTGAAAGCCAAAAAAAACCTTTCCTCCCCAACTTGATTTTGTTTCATCGCAGCAAGAACAGCCCTGACTAGGACACCGTGCAAAGCCAGACACAGTGGCTCAGTCTGTAATGTCTGTGCTCCTACAGTGAGGAGGCGGAGGAAGTCAGAATCCCCGAACCTCACAGGAGGACTCAGCAGTAAACAGTGGAAGATCATGTTTCAAAGAAGGTAGAGATGAGGACCAACAAACTCCTAAGGTGCTCCCTCCACAGAAGCGCTGGGACACTACCCGGTGCCCCCACCACACACATACAAAGGTAAAAGCAATGCACGCTTGTGGATAGGGCTTACTCAGAGGGAGAACATTTGCTTAGCATATATGAGTTCCTGGGCTCACTTCTCTGTTCCCTAAAAACCAAAATAGTATAAAAAAAAAAACCCTCAAAGACTTCCAAATGCCGACCAAGCATATTCTCTTTAACGGGCATATCTTGGGTGAGTTACTACAGAGAAGCCAAGAGTGAAGATATATAAATAATGGGTTAAATCAGAGAGCCTGTGTCTGAGGAGCCTGGCAACAGTTCATAAAACAAGGGCCATTGTCTGGTTTGTGCTTGAGGCCCTCACTGAGCCGCAGCTAGCATTTGAAGTGAACATCTGGACAGCGTCATCCCTGGACATGTGCCGTCTACAGGAGGAATACACGAGATGCGGCCAGAGAGTGTCTACTCACGATCAACTCTCGGAAAAAGACAATGGGGAGACACCTAGAGCAGAGGCGGAAGCAAGGACAGACGTCGGGTTTAGCTGCTGTTCTGTTCCTCGGCAGGTGTTCGCCAAGGATTCAGTAGAAACTCTGGTTATGGACCAGCTTTCCAGAATTAATTTATCATGAATAAAATAATACCATTTAAGAAACAAAGCTCAAAACATTTTTTTCCAAAAGAATAGTGCACTTCTACAAATGAAATGTTTTTAAATAATAATCACATTGAATAATCCATAAACATGATAAGAGTAAATAAATGATAGGAATGGTGTATATAGCCATGATCACAACATGTTACTGGTGCTGGTATTTGGCTCAGCGGTAGAGTGCTGACCTAGCATGTGTGAGGCCCTGGGTTTGATTCTCAGAATGGAAACTGGAAAACCAAAGGTGGGTGGGAAACCTTTCCAAGTAAAAAAGAAGTTACTGAATTTGATTATCTCCATTTTTAAAAGTGTGTGTGTGCATGTGTGTGTGTGCACATGTGTGTGCGTGCGTGTGTTCACGTGAATAAGTATAGGTGCATCTGTGCCAGTGGAGGTTAGAAGACAGCTTTAGGAGTTAGCCTTTACCCCCCACCTTGTTTGAAACAAGGCCTCTCTTGTGGTCCCCCAGGCTAGCTGCCCATGAGTTCGCCTGCATGTACCAGGCTAGCTGCCTATGAGTGACCAGGTCTCCGCTGTCTCCATCCCCCGTCTTGCTGGAGGAACACAGAGATTGTAGATGTGAGCTGCCATGCCCAGCCTCCCATGGGTTCTAGGGATCGAACTCGGGGCCTCACATCTGCTGCAAGCACCTTTACCCACCGAGCCAGCTTCTCCCCAGTCCTCCGATACCTCCTCCTAAGGGGCACGTAACCACTGCAGGCCCCCTCCGCTGCAGTTCAGGGAAGAGAGCCATCCAGACCACCCCATTACAGATTATGGTTGCATTCGTGTCCCATTACTAGGACGTGAGAGGAGCAGAGAGGGGAAAACCTGTTCCGTTAGAAACTTCCAGGGCCAGCTGACTTGAGCAGCTGCACACAGGTCTTTCGGATTCAGGAAGGAGAAGATATAAAGAGAAATGGAACGTGGTAACACAGTCGAGAAATCCACGCTGGCCACCTGCTTCCTCTCTGAAAACCAGTCTCGGATGAACCTACAAGGAAGACACAGCAATTCAGTTCATCATCTAACAGTGACTAAAGATCCCGCAGAGATACCAGACATTGCTATTTTCCAAAGTTCACTGCAAAGTAATTAAATCAGGGCTTGGGAAGTGGTGATATGCCTCGCTAGCCTGAGCAAGGACCTGAGCTATAGCCTCAGCATTGCAAATAAATATACATAATATAATATAATATAATATGTGTGTATATGTATAGTGTATGTGTGTTTTGTCTGCATATATATCTGTGCACTCGTGTGTGCCTGAAGAGGCTAGAAGAGGGCATCAATTTCCTTGGAATTAGAGTCACAGAGGTTGCGAGTCATTTTGTGGGTGCTGGGAATCAAACGCAGGTCCTCTGGAAAGTCAGCCAGGGCTCTTAACCTCCAAGCTTTCTCTCTACCAGAGGTTTTTAACCTATGGGTGATGACCTTTTTGCCAAACCTCTTATTTCCAAAAAAATTTACATTATGATTTACAACAGTAGCAAAATTACAGTTATGAAGTAGCAGCAAAAATAATTCTGTGGTCGGGGGCTGCAGCAGTAGGAAGGCTGAGAACTCACTAGACTAATTGAGAAGTCTAACTCAATTGTTGCAAATGAAAATTTAAATCAGCAGGCAAAGCAATGGGTTCCTTTTGCATTTCCATTTACATGGCACCAGCCTCTGCCTTTACTGTCTCTTTTCCTCATTGACCTCCCCATCCCTTGCCGCCCCTTGTTAGTCTTCTCTCTCCCCCAGATAGCCTCTCTTCAGCTCTCATGTCAGACATGTTCCTCCTTCCCCCACTAAGAGTTCCTCCTCCACTCCCATAGCCTCCTTTCTAGTTTTATGACTTTTACACACACATGTACACCCTTTGTGTGTGTGTACAACTTGACACATGACTGTTCTCTTTATATATCCATAACAAAACTCTACAGCGCTAGGCCGCCAGATGCTCTTTGAGTACCTACTGCTAGAATAGGATGGGCTGGAAGCAATCCAGGCAGCAGCAACTCCGCATCACAGCCAAACTCACTGAATTCTTGGATCTCTAGGACCAGCTTTTGGGTGGGTGGAAAAGTTCTGCTAATCAAGAATCTACCACAACTCATTCACTCGAGACCTTTGACAACAACAAAGCTTTCTCTCACTGCTAAATGGCCACTACTGTCCAATGTCATCGGGCCCCAGTGGACACAGATGAGCTCACCAAAAGTCATGGCACTGAGCAAACCCCATCCTGCAATAGGACTTCTCAGACTTAAATTTCCAGAGGGTGACTTCAATCTCGGCTGGTTGCATAGAAACAGAAGCAGCATTTCCCATAAAGAAAAGACCATAAGCCATCTGGCTGAACACCTGTGACTCCTAAGAGGTAGTCTTGACCACTGCTTTACCAAAACTGTTGGCTCAGTCTGGAACCTCGTCTACAAGGCCCAAACCTGAAAACAGGAAAGTTCATTGATAAAATCATCTACCTTCAAGGGCAGCAGCTCCATTCAGTGTGATAAAGAACTGTTGCTAATCTCTGAGAAGCGCTCTGAACTTCAAACAATAAAAGCCAGCAGCTAAGATCCAGTCACCTTCTAACTACATGCAAGGTACTTGGACCATATAGGATCAGAACACTGTGGGACTCGTGTGAATCAGATGCAATACCTTCACGGCAAACTCAATTTTGTGTCTGCTCTACACACTCCTGTGAAGCGACCACATTTCACAGCAATGGAAATACTGATGAACATCTCAGCTGCAGCCAGCTAAGTTTATGCCCCAGACAGAATCACAGCAGAGGAGCTTCCAGAAGGCACTGGAACACCTGACAAGAAATTCTTCCAAGTCATGAAAAGAGAGAAAAAGCCAGACACAGAACAAGCCAAGATGTGGCTGCCTCGCCCAAAAAGGTACCAAGCCACGTGACTAACACAGACAAGAATTATGGGCTAATATATATAATATTATATATAAGAGTTAATAAGAAGCCTGAGCTACTAGGCCAACCAGTTTATGATTAATGTAGACCTCTGTGTGTTTCTTTGGGACTACACGGCTGTGGGCAGCATGGCTCACATAGAGGGACCGGGGTAGGACAGAAACCTTGGTCAACAAAAAAAGCCATGAAGTGACCCACGGGGCTGTGTGGTTCATAGACTCTTGCCAAGCGTCAGCAAAGCTCTTCTGTGTGTGTTCGGTTATTTTACATTGTAGCCAGGCCTCCCCTGCTATGGTATCCAGAAATTAGTGCAAGGTAGGGTGTGAAGGAGGTAGTGCACATTCTTTTGATTTTTTTCATGAGTACTCATATGAAAAGGAACAGTGCATTCCTCCTCCTCCCCCTTTTCTTCTTCTTCTTCTTCTTCTTCTTCTTCTTCTTCTTCTTCTTCTCCTCCTCCTCCCACCTCCTCCTCCTTCCCCCTCCTCCCCCTCCTCCCCCTCCCCCTCCTCCTTCTCCTCCCCCCTCCTCCTCCTTTGCCTTCTTCTTCTTTATGCTTAGTTTGACCTTGAAGAATGAACAATTCCCGTGACTTCAGAGAAGACCTGAGTAGACATGGATTTGGATCCTGACAGCCATAGGGCACACCTTCGCCCCCACCCCTCAGAGGTCATTGATGACATTGCTATATAAATGGCAACCTCCATGTTCCTGTGGAATCCATAAGCCAAGAAAGGGAGACAAGATTACCCTGGAGGCATAGCAACTGGATGTAATCGATGGCCACGGAGTGGAAGTAGATAGGGTTGAAAAAGGATGCAAAAAAAAAAAATCCATTTTCTACTAAAGTTACAGACAGACCTCACCCCAGAAGCCTTCTATGACTTCTCAGTGTTAGGCATGTCTTACCCCGCTTGGCCAGCTGTATGAGATTTGGTTGACACTTCACTAGAGAACAAACACATAAAACCTAGTGTGATCCAATGACACCTAAAGATAACACAGAGCATTACATTAAAAGAGTCTCAAGTTCCAGGGGCTGGACTGGGAAGGGGCTGATCCCGATGGGAGCTTGCCATGACATAGCAGAGAGCTCTCAGCAGACCTGGTCTAGTTCAATGGAAGAACGATTGCTGGGTGCGAAGTGTTCATATTTAACATGGCAGCATCCTCTGCCATTCCCTGTTCCTCTCCCCCACACTATAAATATCCATCAAATCTCACGGGCCAAGTCTCAGCATTTGCACTCACACACTGGCCCAGGGCCACACAGCCCATCTCCACATTGCCTAAGCTGCTTGGTGATGAAAGGTGAGGTCACTCCTGCTACCCCTCCGTTTATGTGAGTTTTCCCTGGGGTTAGGGAGGAGGAGGGGTTTGACATGAGGGCAGAGGCAGGGTGGGGGGAGCACTAGATGAGATAAAGGGAATCAGCAAGAGCGGGAAAGGGCCCTCCTCTCTCCCTTCTCTCTGCGCTCTCTCTCTCTCTCTCTCTCTCTCTCTCTGTTTCTCTCTCTCTCTTTCTGTCTCCCTTCCCTTTCCTCCCAAAACCCACTGAATAAGCTACGCTCAAACCCTTTAAAAAAAAAAGATTGGGAGAGGCCTTAAGGGTGTAATATGTGGTTATGATCACAATCCATTCCATCTACGGAATTGTCAAAAATAAATAAATAATATCCTAAAAAAACATTTTCCTAATAAAGTCTGTTCTACATGTACATTCCATGGAGCTTGTGTGTATGTGTCCCCTATGCAAGGCAGACGATAGTTCATGGCATAGAGAAGGCACTCAGCAAATACGTGTTAAATAAACATGTCGCAGAAAGGAAATGTTCTCCCTACCATCTGCAGGGAGAAGTCAGTGTCTGCAGATTTGCACGTGGATTTTTGCGAGAGAGTCCTACATGCCTTGATTGATTTACACTAAGAAGAAGAATCCTGGGGCTGGAGAGCTGACTCTGTGGTTAAGAGTATTTGCTGCTTTTCCAGGGGACCAGGGTTCAGTTCCAAGCACCTACATGGTGGCGCACAACCATCCATAGCTGCAGTTTCAGGGTATCTGATGCCCCTCTGACCTCTGCTTGATGTGCAGGCAAAACACTCACACACATAAATAAGACAAACAAAAGAGGAACCATTGCTTGCAGCAGACAGTAATCAGGAGACTGAGGCAGGAGGATGAAGAGTTCGAGACTAGATGGGCCACACAATGCATCTCAGAAACTACTAGGCATTTGTCAGCCATACCTGGTGACCTGGGTTTGATCTCTAGACCCACATAGAGATGGAAGGAACCAGCTCCACAGGTTGTCCTCCAGTCTCCAAGTGTGTGTTGTGGGACATGCGCACCCACAACAATACACACAATAATAATAAACTTACTAATTTAAACAACAACAACAAAAAGCACAGTAATTTGAATGAATGGGATGGAGTTGTTGGCTAGGAGTCTAATAGTTTCTTCTACACCTTCCAAGAGTCGCTTCCAGCGCCTGCCTTCCTGGAGGGTTTTGTGTGATGTGTGTTGTTCCTGATACAGCTCACTCCTTGCCTGTGAGGCTTCGTGGGCCTGTTATTTACCACGGCTCCTTTTCTCCTGGCACACTTGTGATTTGTGTTTATAGACATGGCTTTGCCTCATCTAAGGTAAAATGCTCTTTATTGTTTGGGATGATCTGGGGAGTTGCTTTACTCTCATCAATTGATAACAGCAGCCGCCCAAGCGTTTTAGAGGAGCTGAAGTGCAAAGCAAGGGTATTTGTTTGGGTATTCTTGTGATTTATTTGCTAGGTCTGTGACACTGAAAGAAACAGACTTCTTTTCCCTTTTAGCTGGTAACTTCTACACAAGATAACATTTCCTTCCCCACTAGAGCTGTGTTTTGTTTATTCCTACTTTTAATATCTAGGCCTATTCTGAACTGTCAATCATTTCTCCTAATCTGATAACTATCGGGCATTGGAGAGACTGTCTGATGGGGAGGAGTTGTAACAGATTCACTCAGCCTAGTGTGGGCTGAGTTAAAAGTGAGGTGGCCACGTGACTAGGCTGCCCTCTGCAAAACCGAAATG